TTCACATTTGACATTAAATACAACAAAAGAACTATCAATTCGATATGTTTTACGGATTACGAGAAAAACCATGCTGTTCGAATTATACGGTTTATCAAGTAGGGCATCCTGAAAGACATGGAGATGAAAATGGAGTAATCTACGATCTACGGAATAAGCTATGGGGATTGCGACCAAAAGTACGGTTGATTGGTTTCGAAGAATATGTCTCAATTATTCACTTCAGGAGACCAAAAAAAAAACTCAAAATAAAAAATATAGTCAGAATTATACCCACACATACAAAATCCAACAACACAGAAGAAAAAAGAAACAATTGCATTCATAAGATATCTTGTTCTTATGGTGAAAGTTATATTAGTGAAACTTCTTGATTCTAGACCATTATGCTGTAACACCTTCTTGTCAATTAGGTGTTCAGAAAAATTTGAGTACATATGACTCTTTGGTAAACGTTGTTGACGAACTAATGAATAACTGGGATAAAAATCAGAGCAGCGTTTTGACACTTTTTGATTTTTCAAAAGGGTATGATACTAATAATCTACTAGAGCTACCGAACTGAGTCATGGCTGGTGGGAGAAATCGTATCGTATTTTCAGGAGTTTGACTTTTCAAAATATGTTTATGCAATTTACTTTTAAACTCCATCACAAGCTGAATACGGTCCTGAATGTGTATGTTTACGGCTCGAATAATCTAACAGACTGTAAACAGATTTCCACATATCTACTGCACATCTTGAGGGAGGGGCTCCTCACCGGTCATGATTCAGTACGGCAGCTGCACTTGCGAAATTTAGATATTATGGCTTTTTCGACTTTTCACTGTCTATTATCGGTTCTTACCTTCATAACAGATAGCAGAAAATTGAATCAGGTGGAGGATATTCGGATTATGTTAACTTGATAGCAGGTGTACCCCAGAGAAGTATTCTGGGTCCCCTGTTTTTTATAATGTATACAGCAGATATATTAAAATCTATAACCTGGTGTGATGTTCAGTCATATGCGGATGATACTAAGCTCATAATGAGCTTTCCTAGACAGAACCTAATCGAAGCTCAAAATGATATTAACTGGGACCTCGATAAAATCTTCCGCTTGAGTACTTCGCATAATTTGAAACTCAATTCAAAGAAATCCAAATTGATAGTTTTTTTCTCCCAAAATCCAAAGTATGTATGTTAAAAATAACCTGAACATTTCCAGAAATGGTACCCCGCGGAAAAAAGGTGAAGCTACAAAAATTTGAGTTGAACATTCGATTATGATCTCAGATTCAGAAGTTACTTCAAAAATATCTTCAAGAGAGTGTTTCTTTCGCTCAAACCATTATATAGTAATATTCACACTGAACACGAATTTACGAAAAACTCTTTGTGAATATCTTGTTCTTTCGCAATTTACATTTCGTTACTTCATGTATGGGCCTTGTCTTGATAATGCCTACGTACAAAATTTTTGTATTCGTTTTATATACAGTCTTAGATGTTATGATTATGTTTCTGAAAAGCGCTCCGAGTTGAATTGGCTTACTATGGAAGACACTATGGAAGAATATGTCTCTGTTCATTTACAAAGTATTGCATTATAACTTTGAAAAAAATAAAGATAAGTTGCTTTCGAAATCTGAAACATATGGTGTTAATATCAGGTACCAAGATAATTCACCATGTCATATCACACCACAGCTATGTTGCAAAGGGGTTTCACTTATAATGCCGTTGAACTATTCAATTCTATCCCAGCTCATGTCAAAAAAATGAGGTGAGGCGCCTTCAAGAAATATATGGGGGAACATATCAGTCCGCTAGTGTGAATATTTGTCATTACTTTGCATCTTTCCACTCTACATCCTATGGTCATGCCTCCTAGGTTACTGACATTTCAATATTTTTCGTTTCTTTCAATTTGTATATGTAATAGTTTATTTTCACTACTGTTCATTTTTTTGTGCTTTCGTTAATGGCTGATCTTTAGAATATTAAGTTAGGTTAGGTTATTATGTAAGGTTAGGTTAGGTTTAGATGTAAGAGTAGCCACTGGCTAAATCTCTCCTTTGATCAAATGAAAGGGTTACATCACTATATTATAATTTATATATTTGATTTTTCTTCAATCAAGAAGGTTATTATCATTATTATTGAAAGTGCGTAAGAATCAACATCAGGATTACATTCGAAATATACTATTAACAGACGGTGGACAACGAGTTGAATGGAACAAGATGAGAATAATTGTCAGGTAGTTAAGAATTAAACTAAAAGAATCAGCGTCTATTCTTATATGTGAAGAGAAATTCATTTTGAAAAAGATTATATTTGGCTACCTGACTTGAAAAAAAATTAAATGTGGCGAAATTGCAACAGACTGATAATAATAATGACAAAAATAATAATATTTATTTACCAGTTTTGGAATACAGGTTGAACAATTCCTTAAAATCAAGTGATTTGTAAACGAACATGAAAAATCCATTAAAACTCATAGTTGTGCAAGGAGTTGATGTATTCATTTTTATTATGTTTAGGAGACGAACTATAATACGTTCAAAATTATGACACACATACTCATTTCTTCAGTTTTCATTATCAATCATCAATTATTACGACGGTGAGAGCGACTGTTGCCCTTGAATTCATCAGATAGATAACTAGTCAATTATTATTTACTATTCCTATAATTGCGGATACTCTGTTTATCCAAGTGTACGCGTCACGAAAAGCCCTGCAGCTCCTCGAGACACTTAATGAATTTTGTGGTGACTACATTCAAGTGTTTATTTGGGCACTTAAATTCACTCAAAGCATCAAATCTTACACGTATATCTACTTAAAGTGGTCTCGGTTGAAGCAGCTGATGCACATGCGATGCGTGAATGTTTCACATTCCTCTAACACTGAAAAAAATGCCCTAAGATTTAAAATAATATGATAAGTGGATGAAATATGTTTCATTTATATAATTTTTCAATCAGTTCTGAAAATGTTTCTGTTACAACTATACCCGGTGTATTCGATGACACAGGTAGTTTCCGAAATACAAATAAGGTAATTACTTTTTCAAACAACCGAATTTTCATATAGTGGTTGATCGAAACTTTTTTTTAATATTGATGATGAAAGATGGAATTTCACTCATTTGCCATTACATAGAACCAGAACTAAAGAAGACATTCAAAGACCAACCGAAACACAATTATAGCGAAAAAATTACCAACTATTCGCATCGCTACCCACGAATCGCTGTCAATATTCAACCTTATATGAATTGTAAGGGGGATACATTTTTGAAAAGATTAGGTTTTGTGAAAGAAAAAGATTTTTGTCTCTTTATGTTTATATGAAACTAGTTGTAATGAGAGGGCTTTACTTTTCAGTTAGTACTGAATATAACTTCTATGCTTGATCTACACATCATTGCGAAAAGTCCATTTTGAACTTGATTGCTTTCCTCCTCGCTGACAACCCCAGCAAAACTATGATAATCCCCTTCACGAAGAGAAGAAAATTGAACGATTAAACGCCAATGATGGGGTCATTCCATTTGGAACGGATGTAAAATATCTTGGCATTGTCCTTGATGAAAAACTCACCTGGAACGCTCACTTGGAAAACTTTTTACACAAAGTCAGAATATCCCTATTGACATGTCAAAGGACTTGTGGTAAAAATTAGGGCTTAGGTTAGGTTAGGGCTTAGGTGAGCCACACAATAACCCTTGCGGGTTATAGTGTGGCTCACCTAACCTAACCTAACCTAGCCTGACCTAACCTAAACCAAAACCTTGCGGGTTATACTGGAGGGTATAATAGACCCACCTACTATTGACCTTACCTAACCTAACTTCGTTCCTTAGGTAGTTTCTCATATTTTTGTTTGTAGATGGAGAAGTAGGAAGCCATAGAGTTTGTTTCTGAAAACTAATGACTTTCTCTTCAATCGCTATGGCTGGGATTGGATCAATCAAGTCTACTCATATTATCATCATATAGATATAGATTTTTCTCTTTCGTGACATAAAGTCATGATGTTATGAGTGTGTTATTCCAAAACTCCAAAGTACGCCATTGTGCATCATGACGGTTTGAATTGAAAGGGGTAAATTTTTAGGACAGATTAATTTTTGAGGAAAAAAGGTTTTATAAAACTAGTTTTTTCTTTCGTGTAATTCAGTGTATATGAAAGTAGTTGTTTCGAAAAGGCTTTCCTTTTCAAATTGTGTCATGAAGTTACTTCTTTGTAAAGTGTATCTCCCCTGAAAATATACCCCTTTCAATTTAAACAAGATGCCTATGGATGGGATTGAATCAAATGAACGATTGAATGTCATTACGTACTGTCATCGATGGCATGAGTAGATTCAAATCTTTCCTGACATAAAGCCGTAATGCTATGAATTGATTGATTGCTTTATTTTGTGATGTTATGCATATTAGAGCTGAAGAGGCAATAAGGAAAGTGTCTTATTTCGAAACATCGATGTTCGCCATTGAAGATGACAGTGTTTCATACAAACGAGTCGCTGTCAATATCTCCTTGTATACTAGTATTTTTCAAAAGTGAACTCACTCTTTTCTTCAACCAAAAGTCTGGTGAGAAAAAATATATTTATTAGGAAATATGATATATTCTAGGATGACAAGGAATTATTTGAGTGACTGGGGAAATAGAAACTCTGATTAGGCTGCTCAAAAACAAGAAGATCTCAGTTTGACGATTGAAATGTATGTATTAAACTGTTGGGGTCCTTGGTCTTTTGAAACGAGACTCAATGGTATCATAGCCAACTACTTTTTAAAATATTCCAATTCCACTACCAGATCAGTGCCCTTTATCTGTTTGCTACTATTCGATGACACCATCATAATTATAAATAGATGATATTCATTGTAGATACCTCATAAATTCAAGAAACACAGCGAGCACGGGCACTTGGACCACGAAACTTCTTGGGCTCGCAACGACGAGGACCAGCAACCAACAATGTTCGGTCGTATTAGATCAAGATGTCCTTCAATTCCTTTTTGTATTCTTCATATTTTTGATAGTATGCTACCAGAGCTTTGGATATCGCTTGCCTGATAGCATAGATTTGGGAAACATGTCCTCCACCATTTACACGAACTCTCACATCTACTGCAGAGAACTTGTCCTTTCCAAGAAGCAGAATGGGTTCTTGTAGTTTGTCCTGGAGCATTTCAGACTCAACCTGGCTCAAAGGGCGCCCATTGACCCTTAGTACTCCTCTACCCCTTTTGCAATATGCAAATGCGGTAGCCTTTTTGGGCTTCTGTGTAAGCGCATATGGAAGTTTCTCGAATATCAACTTCGATGTTTCAGTCAAGTAAAAATCAAATATAATAGCAGTAGTATAATTCATTAACTAGACAACGATGTTTCAACCTATCATAAATATCATCAGTACTAGTATGTACTCCTCTGGATATTAAGTGTGGTATTAGTGCTCATCTATGAACAAAAAATAATCCTGAGTTAAACAACCAAGAAATTTTCCTCCAAGATTTGACAAAGGCCATCAATCAGAACACCTCTTTCAATTTTCGCAAAGCTATTTTTTGCAAATACCATTGATACTCGACTAGATCTGAAGAACTTGAGAAGACATTTCTTGAAAGCTTACTGAAAAACCTGCAGAAAATGAATTGTAATTAATATGAACTATATTTGGATATGTTCAATATGTAATCGCCTTTTGCCGTTGTTTTCTGAAAAACTATGCATTACAGAATGTATCAAAGTTTATAAATATGTAAATGTTTTATTACTCCGCAGAAATTCATAAAAGACATAAGTGAATCGATAATTGAGTTGTTTACTATCGCTTACTTTGCTAGGTTCTCACAACATCAGAAAAGTCATCCAATCGTCTGCCACTATATCAATAATAGAGAAGCAAAAACAACAAACACAAAAGAAGGCCGGACCGATTACCAATTGACAGCCATTGTTGATGGCAATAAAAATCAATTTAACCCAAGTGTGAACGATACGTATCAGACACAACGAATGACAAATGCTCTTCGGAAATTTAAACAAGATGTTTCAAATCAAAAAGTTCGAAAATAACACGTGTTCGAGCGTTCGGGGATACTATGATGGATCACTTCATCCACTCATAGTAACCATATAGTAGATGTCAACTCGTGAATCCTGGTTAGTTTCATTCATATGTCAGTCGATGGGCTAAATATACTACACTGTCTCGTTTTCATTCATGAATAGTAAAACCCATCTAACGTTAACAGGATAATGTAATTTTTGAATGGCAAAAGTGCATCGAATTTTGAGATGTTATAATAGTATATATTACTGCTTCCAACTGAATTTCTGTTAAGTTATGAATTTGTTCGATCAGCTTTGAATATATCCCTTTTTATTTCCATGAATCTCACGTTGTATGGATTTTTTCTTGCAAATGAGCTCGAAAAATTGACGCGACATTTTGTAAATTTGTATGTGTGACTGATTTCAAGAATATTTTATCTACTCAAAATGTCTACAAGAAAAATTGTGAGTCAACTTCCACAGTAGACATAGACTTTTATTGATGCAGTACAAACCTGTAGAAGTGACACTGCTGCTTTATTCATATATTTTAACATATTTTTTTAGACGATTCACACCGTTCTGGAGAGACCTTGCCCGGTACTGATGATGGGACAAGTACCCCAAAACCGGTCTATCGGTGGGTCGTATCGATCAAATGAAATTAATTTCTGCTTTCAATAGTGGGAAATAACTTGCGACGAATCTTCCAAATTGAAGACGTTGCACAGGTGCTTGCTGGTTTTACTTCAGCTTTTTGCGTAGCATCAGCTAGGTCAGTTGTTGTTTTTTTCGTCGTGTATCTGCCACAAGAACCTAAAGAATCGTAGGCCTACATGAGAGGCAAGGGGTAAGGTGTTTTCATCTGAACCTGTTGTCGTCAAGTTTAGTCAATTTGAACATGTGAAGTTAGCTTTCAGTAATTTGAAGACTATTAAGAAACTATTTTCCAACTTAAAAGACAAATCATTAACTTACCGAATGTGGTTTATTCCATCCCTTGTTCCAGTTGTGAGAATATTTATATTGGACAAACGAGTAGAAAATTAAAAGACAGAATCAGTTCACACATGAGTGACACAAGATACAATAAACCATCCTGCACCCTTTCTAAACACACCATTGACTTAGATCATGGATTTTCTTTTGATTATGTTCAAATCTTAGATTCAGAAAATAATAGTCAAAAAAGAAATTTCTTAGATATATGTGATATATTAAAAAAATTGAATACTATTGATTCCGGGACAGACATTGAAAGTCTAGGCCTGATTTATACTTATCTTCTTTGTTTAAATAAAGTTAATAAATTTGATAACAATTAATAATTCCGTAGAGGAAAAAACTCTTCACCTTCACTATCTGTTATATATCATTTTGTAGTTCTGTGAGATCTCATTGACAACATTGCCATGGTCAGAACAAGAAATTCTGTCGAACACTTTCTGTCAAACAATATGTTTTTTCAAGCATGTTCGACAACCTGTTGAGTTAATTTTTCAATACTCAATTACATATTATCTGTGCAATCATCTCATTTTATCATAAAAAGAATACGTAATGTTATATGTTTTTAACAAATTTTCATCTTGACATACAAATATGAGGATCCCCTTTATTACTTTTTTGCAGACTTCATTTTCAACCTCACTTTCGTAAGTATGAACACGTTGTCCATACCTTTATTTATTCAATAATTATTGTAGAGTTCCTGATGAAGAGACAGTAAACATGAAAGCTTGAACAGAAAAAATAGTTTAAAAATATTTCTGCCTCTGACTGCTACACCCGATTTCACTTCCTGCGTTATTCCTTAACTTAACCAGACGATTATGTGAGGAAATATTTTATTGTTTGCATGATAATTAGAATTTTTTATAGATTATCTATGTAGCACACAGTGGCTGTTAATCATTTGCGTTTCCTTTAGCATTTCAAAGCCGTTATCCCACTTTACGTATCATAAGGTAGGGTTCCGGAAAAGTGCGAAAAATGTTCAGAATTTGAAATTTCTAATACCAAAACTCATCTTCAAAAATTATCTTCACCTTTGAAGATATTTTCAATACAGGAAAGAGATGTTATTTCATTTCCAGACTCCATCTCTAGTGGATATATTTTGTGTGGTACAAAATAGAAGAAAAACATTCAAAAATACACAGAGGCAATTGAAGTTTCGATGATAGATCATTATTTTAAAATACATATTTTGTTTTTAGTTCATCAAAAATATATTTTTTGCTTTTTGACAATCAATTATATATGTAATATGACAGATCCATAGTTATGGAATTGCTAGGATGCTGTGTACGGAACTGTTATTTCCAACTGAAGGACGAATTCTTTACACAAGATGAGGGACTGCCAATAGGATCGCCACTTTCACCAGTCATAACCATGGAGTGGTTTGAAACTTCGGCCATTGAAGCCCACAAGAAACCTCGTGTCTGGTTGAGATACGTTGATGACACCTTCATAATATGGAACCATGGGAATACTGAACTGGACACATCAACAACGTAAGACCTTTCATCACTTTCACAATTGAGAAGGAAACCCAAAACGAATTGTCATTCTTAGACGTATTGATGAAGAGAACTAACACTAAGTGGAAAACATCTGTATACCGAAAACCCACTCACACAGGACAGTATCTGAACCACGAATCCAACCACCATCAATCGACTAAAAGAGGAGGAAAAGAGCTCACGGAGGAATCGGTCCAGTCATCACCCGAAGACGATTGTGGATACTAACAATCGAAACGTCGTGAATTAACTTGGCTTGGAATCTCTTACCTTTTCAATTGTATTTTATTTATTTTTTGTTCAAACTGTTCCATTTTTACCTGTGTTTTATTTCACTATTATTTCATTTCACGTTT